ATATGTGTTTCGCCATATATTAGCTGTAATATAGTACATGTTGTCGAGCATTTACATGTGTTCGCATATATGGGTGTCATATAGTACAGGGTGCTGAAAGATTTACGGTGTTCGCAGTATATGTGGTGTAATATAGTACAGGGTGTGAGATTTATGATCTGTTTTGCATAATTCGTGTAATATAGAACAGGTGTGAGATTTACGTCGTTTCGCATATATTCGTGTAATTATAGCTAAGTGTGAGATTTAATGTCGTTTCGCAATATTGTGTAATATAAACAGTTGTTGAGATTACGTGTTTCGCAGATGATTGTGTAATATTATTACAGGGTGTTGACGATTTACTGTGTTCTCATATATTGGTGTAATTATAGTACAGGTGTGAGCATTTATATGTTGTTGCATGTATCTGCGTCTAATATAGAACAGCGTGCTGAGATTTATGTGTTCGCATTATGATGCTAATATAGTACAGTCGTGTGAGATTAGTGCTTTCGCATATAATTAAGGCTGTAATATACGCTAGTTAAAAGGTGCAGATTTTATGTGTTTTGCATATTATTGCGTGTAATATAGAACAGTGTGTTGAGATTTACGCTGTCGCCATAATTGGTGTAATATAGTACAGGTTGAGATTTATATGGTTTATGCATGTATTGGTGTTAATATATTACAGCGTGTGAGATTTAAATGTGTTTCGTCATTTATTCGTGTAAATATAGTAACAGCGCTGTGAGATTTATGGTTTTGCTATATATTGGTGAATAGAACAGGCTGTGAGATTTACGTGCTCGCAACAGTTGGCTGCAATATAGTTTACAGTGTGAGCATTTTATTGTTTGCATAATGGTGTGATAGAAACAGCGTGTGAAGATTTATCTGTTTTGCATATATTGGGTGTAATAGAACATGGTGTGGATTTTATGTGTTTTCGCATATTTATTGCGCTGTAATAGAACAGCAACGTAAAACCGATAAACAAAAACACCGCTTTCAAAAACGAAAACAGTGTCTGAAGATTATGTGTTTCGCCATATATGTAATATAGTACAGGCTGTGAGATTTATGTGTTTTGCATGATAATTGGTTAATATACAGTGTGAGATAATCTGTATATGAGATTTAGTTGAGATTCTTTATATTGATTTGCATATGTACGACACTGCGACTCTATGTCTATCTAGATCCTCTTATATCTATACCGAGATCCAGCTTGATGTCACAGATGCTCATGTATGCCTGCCTAGCCCTAATCTCCACTGCCCGGTGCGTGCGGAAACCACCTGCAGCTTCACTCTGTAGAATACCCTAACAAAGGAGCCGCCCGCGGGAGCGTGAGCGGCTGGGTCGACGGGACTACGGGAGTAGGTACTGCGCCATTCAATTTCACTCCTTGAAAGCAGGAACAACAATATACCAGATATAGCGTGTTGGTGCCGCGTGCTGTGTGGGGCGGGCGTGATGTGTTCGTGCGTGCCCTTGCCACGCGTGTGTTGTAATGCATGATTTGTGTATGGGTGTAGGGGAGTGTGTGCTGGTGTTGTGGTGTGTTGTGCGTGTGTGGTGTGGTGGGTGTGTGTGGTGTGTGTGTATGTGTGTGAGCGTCTAGCGTGCGTGCCGCACCTGCGTGTGTAGCACGCTGCGTGCGTACGTGTATACATGTGTTAGGCGGAGTGCGCGTGCGTGGTGGTGCGTGTTTCACGTCCAGCAAGACAAATATAAAAGAATTTGCGTCGGAGCGCAATGGATAATGAAAACAAGCTTGCGACTCTCTACGCAGAATGATTATAAAAAACTATGAAATGCTGTTGAAAATGCTATAACGCAGTAAGAAAGGCTACTCACATGCGTGTAAGTATATAAAAAACGACTGTGGGTGAAAGGCATTAGGTCTTATCACGGATCCGCCGCGAGGCTGTTACTGCATTCCGGCAGAACACCTTGCTGAGTTGTCAAGATCCGAATCTTCCGCAAAGCGGCGAATTCAACGCAAGCGCTCGTTAAGCTGACAGGTGATTGGCAATAATCGTAATTAGAAACAAAACAGCCAATATATATCCAGTAGTTACGATTAAGTCAAACAATTGTTATGCCATGCTACTAACCATTGCTACCCCTATACGAAGTCTCTGTGCATGGACCACCCATAACCGTACCACGTGGCGCCCGTCAGCATGCACGTGGACTAGCTGACACAAAGGGGCGCACCATCGCTAGTATGGATAGATCTAAAGGCGTGTACGATTCGCCACCCTTAAAAGCAAGCCCTTTAACTCTATGTTGTTTTCATTCCGTATTAGTCTGTACGCGACGCTAGCCCATCACCGCGATGTTGCGCAGTGCCAGAGCGATCGTTCGCCATGTCCTATGATGCACTATCTACTGCCGCATTAAAGGAAACACATACCATGATGACGCATTCATCGCCTAGCAGAAAGAGAGAAGCGCACAGTAAAACAAAAGGATGAGAGGCGCAAAGCAAAGAAAGAGAAGAAAGAAATAACAACGAGAAAGGGGGTGATGGAAGACAAAGAAAGAGAGAGAGAGAGAGGATCGAAAGAGATAACGTGAAAGAAAGAAAGAAAGAAAGAAAGAGAGATAGAGACAGCAGCCTACCAGTCGCACTGATATACAGTGTCAAAAGTTAACGCTGTTGTGATGTACGTTCGGTGTTTATTGCCTAGCACGGATAATTGGGTTAGGATAAATCAAATAAAAGTTTAAAAAACACACACACACCTATCAAGTAACTGAAACACTACAACACTTCGCAATTTTACACTGTCGGTATGTGAATTTTACACCGCATGTAGCCCACACCCACCCATGTTACACCGCCTGTAACTCACACCTACCCATCTTACACAGCCTGTAACTCACACCCACCCATCTTACACAGCCTGTAACCCACACCCATCCATGTTACACAGCCTGTAACCCACACCCACCCATGTTACACCGCCCTAACCCACACCCACCCATGTTACACCGCCATAACTCACACCTAACTTTTACACACTCGTATTACACCTCCTGTAACTCGAAATCTATTTACTACCAAATTCTCCATGTTTCTATAGGCCTACTCTCTTTCACCTATTATTGCCGACAGTTTCCTGTAAATTCCGTCGAAATCCTACGTCCAACATACGCTGCCGGCTGCCATTGCTCTCGCGGCGCGACTGTTGCACGCTTACAGTATTATATATAGCAGGTAGGAAAGCGTGCTGCCAAAATTTGCTCGATGCTCGCTTGATTTGGCACTTTCACAGCACGAATACACATCCAACAGCAATTTATCTTAAAGCAACATAAAATTGGACTGTTCGCTGGCAGCTATGGATTCGTTCGCCGGTCTATGCATTCGGTGCACGGATCCATAGCTGCCAGTGCTGCATACTGTCGTAGGACGTTCCCGCAGTCGCGTGCGCCTTGCCGCAAAACTACGCGCAAGATCTGCGCTCAGCGCTTCGAATCAACACCTTCTTTCGGCAACGCTTCTCTAGTATCCCGTCTCATCTGGTTGCCACTATCCACCGTGTTGCACTGCACCGTACGTAAAGTAAACCGTTAGTTACCACGTTTCGACAGGTGGCGCCATCGGGCGTCGCCAGAAGACCACAAAACGCTACATTAGTACCAAAGTCTCAATGTTTCTCTACTCTTTCTCGCCTATTATTGCCGATAATTTCCTGAAAATGCCGTTCAAATGCTCCTCTACAACACACAAGTACACCGCACGCACGCCGCTATGCAGAAACAACAAAGAAAAAAGAAAAAACCGACCTTAGTCGTTAGTAGGTAGTAAATACATTTCGTGTTTATTTACCCTTAATTTTACTATTGAAACGTTCCAAGTGCCTGTGTGGTAAACAGCCTTGCTTACCTCGTGACACGGACAGTGTATGTACGTACCGTCACGGTGGCAGCAGGCCCTGCGAACGTGTGCTCAGGTAGCGCTAGCGTGGCCGAGGATGTGATCAGAGAGCCGGTGATGGTCTGGCTGCTGCCGACGGCGTGTAGCTCCCCCGTCACCTCAAACACGAGCAGGTCGTCATCATCGATCAGGGCGTCCGAGTTGTAAGGCGCATAGATGCCACCTGTAATAACATTTCACATGTTATCTCTCTCTCTCTTTCTCTCTTTCTCTCTCTCTCTATCTATCTACCTCTCTCTCTCTCTCTACATCTATCTATCTCTCTTTCTCTTTCTCTCTCTCCATCTATCTCTCTCTCTTTCTCTCTCTCTCTCTCTCTCTCTCTCTCTTATATATATGTATATATTTATATATCATATTGTGTACGAAGATTATTAACCGAGATATAGCTATTTTTTAAGAAATGACGGCGGCCATTTTTAAATTCAAGATGGCGGCCGAAGTTGTAGTTGGATCGCGTGTGTCCTGCTTTTAAATGAAAGAGCATACAAAAGTATGCAAGTGTACCAATTTTCATACTTTTTTTAAAATTTGAACGATTTTTTTCTAATCTACTGTACTAATACACAAGTTAGAGATAGATATGCACCTACGATGAGATATAAGGGTATTGTATCTATCACTATATTATAGTAGACGATAATAATATAGTGTCTCTGTTATATTTCTATGGTTTAGATGCAGTGCGTGTGAGAATGCCTGTGACGTCACAACTGGTGCATCCGAGACGGGGATAAATTAACTGGCGGGCAATAAACTAGGATATCTCGATTCGTTTGCGTGTTCGTTTTGCTTGTCTCAACGTGCATGATAAAATTAAGGGTCCATAATAGACATTTCCCTATTTGAAGAACAGAAATTGTTCTAATAGAAAATTTTTCTAATAAGAATATAGAAAGCGAATATAATAAATTCTATAATATAATAACATTCTATAATATAATATATTCTATTATGGACTCTTGATAAAATGCAACAGTATTTTTTTCATATCTAAAAGCATAAAGGTAATGCTGTTGCCGCTCACACGCATTCGTTACAGTAATAATGATGTAAATTAATAATAAATAAATAATGTAGAAAAGCTCGTAGTGTGAATGTGAATATAAAAGGGTTTGTAAATTTGACCGTATGATGATTATGTGAAGTAGAAATCTTCTTAATTAACTATGTTAATTATTCTGGTATACCTCGTCGATGAATTACGGGATAATCTAATATCAAACTGTATAGGCACCACTTGACCCTTGTCCATGTTCATGGAATGACTGGCTGGCTCAGTGAGAACGAATGGCACAGGAAAGCCAGCCTACATAACGACAGCACAAGTCCTTCACTCAACCGTTACAACTATACCTACTCATATATGATGATAAGCAAGTCAGAAGTAACAGTTCACAACCATCACCGATTACAATCACCGACCATCCAGGGTATGGTATTCAGGTATTGCGTTGGAAATATATACAGCTTCACGGTATTTTAGCCCAATATGCTATGTTTATATCTATGTCTCTATCTTTCGCACACACACGCGAGCACGCATTCTCTGTCTCGCACGCACTAATATACACCATAGAAAATTCGTGACGTAGTCAATTTAATTGTAACCCTGCACGTGCACACGCCGGCTTTACCATGACCGTACACACTGACTCACCACAACGCTGACCGTGCCAGATATTATATTGAACTCTGGGTGAAAATCCGTTCTTGATGGATAATTTTCAGTGTTCGTGATGCGGGTTAATTCCACCACTACCTCACTGTTGCCTGATCCTGCAATTGGAAAATCAAGACTGTAGCCTCGTCTACACGGAGTTACCTTAACCAGAGTTAAGCTAACCCGAACACGCATCGTCTACATGGAGTTTGTCTTAACCCGGTTTAAGCTAACCCGAGTTAACACTTAACCCGAGTTAAGAAATACGTGTCGTCTACACGCAGTCTACTGATAACTACCGCTTAACTCGAGTTAACGATTTCGCGTGCGTCTACACGAGTCTTAACTCGGGTTAAGCTTAACCCGGGTTAAGGCTTAACCCGAGTTAAGACCTCGTATAGACGCTTAACCCGAGACATATTTCCTCGTGCATGTAGGCGATGCTTGTATACTAGGGAACTTAACTGGCAATCGACAAATGCCCTGTAAAGCTCACGTCAGCGCGAACAACTGATAAAATATGGACATAGAACCAAGATTAAAGAGTCATCTCCGCAAAGACATTATATTGAAATAGTCTTGCAGATAAATAGTCTTCAAAATAAAACATCTATTCGAATAAGACATTAGAAAATAATAGTTGAAATAAAGCAGTGAGTTCTAGTAATTAAAAAATGACATTCGTTCCTAGGTATACTATGTGAAAAAAACCTACGTTCAATGTAATATCGCTTCCAAGAAACGATGTTGCAACGTAAGAATAAAATCGATCGATGATCGAGGTTAACTAGAATTAATCTAATTAATTAATTAATCTAAGTAATTAATCTAATTAATTAATCACCGGAAGTTTTGTTTTTTTGGAACGAATTCATTGCGCGAACCTATCGTTCGATGTAAAATTGATGAACGAAGAAAATACCCCCAATCAACTAGTAGTGTTTGTCGCTGCAGTATTAATTCTTACCCAGTTCCGACGTGGTTTCTGTGTACGTGTAGATCATTGCGTCCCTGGGCGGCAGGTAGGCGATGTTGATTCCGGCGGTGAACGATATGTCACAGATGCTGATGGCCACCGTGTCCGATATCGTCGACACAGCTCTAACCTTCATCCTATTATAGGAGCTTCATTGATTAACACGAACGCACGCACGCACGCATCCACGTACGCACGCACGCATGCACGCACGCACACACGCACGCATGTACGCATGCGCACACGCATGCATACACGCACGCACGCACGCACGCACGTACGCACGCACACACGCACGCATGCACGTACGCATGCACGCACGCATGCATGCACGCACGCATGCACGCACGCATGCATGTACTCACGCACGCACACACGCATGCATGTACTCACTCTGGGGTGGAGGGAAGGATAGGTTGAGGGGATAGCGTGGAGGATGAATTAAGGTGATGGAGGAGGGGGCGGGGGTGGAGGGAAGGATAGATTGAGGGGATAGCGTGGAGGATGAATTAAGGTGATGGAGGAAGATGCTGGGGTGGAGGGAAGGATAGGTTGAGGGGATAGTGTGGAGGATGAATTAAGGCGATGGAGGAAGGGGCTGAGGTAGAGGGGAGGATAGGTTGAGGGGATAGTGCGGAGGATGAATTAAGATGATGGAGGAGGGGGCTGGGGTGGAGGAAACGATAGGTTGAAGGGATAGCGTGGAGGATGAATTAAGGTGATGGAGGAGGGAGCTGGGGTGGAGGAAAGGATAGGTTGAGGTGATAGCGCGGAGGATCAATTAGGGTGATGGAGGAAGATGCTGGGGTGGAGGAAAGGATAGGTTGAGGGGATAGTGTGGAGGATGAATTAAGGCGATGGAGGAAGGGGCGGGGGTGGAGGGAAGGATAGATTGAGGGGATAGCGCGGAGGATGAATTAAGATGATGGAGGAGGGGGCTGGGGTGGAGGAAAGGATAGGTTGAAGGGATAGCGTGGAGGATGAATTAAGGTGATGGAGGAGGGGGCTGGGGTGGAGGAAAGGATAGGTTGAGGTGATAGCGTGGAGGATGACTTAAGGTGATGGAAGAAGGGGCTGGGGTGGAGAGAAGGATAGGTTGAGGGGATAGTGTGGAGGATGAATTAAGGTGATGGAGGAAGGGGCGGGGTGGAGGGAAGGATAGATTGAGGGGATAGTGTGGAGGATGAATTAAGGTGATGGAGGAAGGGGCGGGGTGGAGGGAAGGATAGATTGAGGGGATAGTGTGGAGGATGAATTAAGGTGATGGAGGAAGGGGCGGGGTGGAGGGAAGGATAGATTGAGGGGATAGTGTGGAGGATGAATTAAGGTTCAAGGATGTATTGGTAGGATGGGGGCTGTGGTTAGAGGGGAGGCTGGGGTGAAGGGATAGTGCGGAGGTGAATTAGGTGATGGGGTAAGGGGGCTGACAGTGGAGGGAAGGGATAGCGTTGAAGGGATAGCGTGGGAGGATCGAATTAAGGTGACTGCGGGAGGGGCGCTGGGGTGGGGGGAGCTTAGGTTGAGGTGGAAAGTGCGGAAGATGAATTAAGGTGAATGGGGGAAGGGGGCGGGGTGTGGGGAAGGATCGGTTTGAGGGATAGTGGGCGAGGACTGGAATTAAGGTTGATGGGGAATAGGGGGCTGAAGTGGGATGGGAAGGATAGCGTTGACAGGATAGCGTGGAGGATGAATTAATGGTGAATGGAGGAGGGGGCTGGGGTGGAGGGGAGGCTTAGGTTGCAAGGGGAAAGTGCGTGAAGATGAATTAAGGTCGATTTGGGGAAGGGGGTGGTGGTGGACGGGGAAGGATCGGTTGAGTGGTAGTTAGGCGGAGAGGAATGAATAAGTGTGATGGGCGAAGGTGGGCTGGAATGTGGAGGCGTCAAAGGCTTAGTTGAAGCAGATTAGCTGTTGAAGGTATGAATTAATGGTGATGGAGGAGGGGGCTGGGGTGGAGGAGGCTAGGTTGAGTGGAAAAGTTGCGTGAAAGTCATGAATTAATGGTTGATGGGAAGGGGGCTGGCGGGTGGAGGTAAGGGATCGGTTGATGGCCACCGACATAGCCGATAGCGTGGAGGATGGAATTAAGGTGACTGGAGGAGGGGGGCTGGGGTGGAGGGGCAGGCTGGGTTATAGGGGAAAGGTGCGGACGGACTGAATTAATAGTGATGGGGAAGGGGCTGCCGGGTTGGAGACAAGGATAGTGTTAAAGAAAAATGAGAACAGATCCGTGAGCTGACCGCTATTAGGATGGGAGGGTATTTCCTGCAGCTGGCAAAGCACAGATCGATATTCACCTTCCGTTCATCAGGGATTATCCCAGCTTCGTATTTCTCGCGCGTCTATTATTCGTTTGCGACTATGTTGGCAGCTAAAAGTCTGCCGGTGGTAACCGTGGCTGCGCGAGTGAAGTAACTTCGTCCAGGCACGGATATTTTTTCGACACCTAGATACGCGATCATGAGCATACGCCGAATCCTTATAGTATATGTGATCAGCATTACTAATATAAACTAGACCGGAGGGCACTCATGAGACCGCGCATTACTTTCGCCAGCGGGATCCATTAGCAGTAGCCCATGCTTCGTAAGGCTCAGTATCAGTTCCGTACGCTCGTACAGCAGCCGCTTGTTTACGCAGCCGGCGCCAAGCCGCCGCACGGCCGCCGTACAGATCGGCTATAATCGATTGAGTCTGGCTACCCTAACACGCACGATACACACGTAAACACCACGAGAACACACGTTACACACGAACACACGTAAACACACGAACACTACTATACACACGATGCACACAAACACATCTCCACGGATGCAAGTGATCACATATCACCTCTGCCACCTCCGTGGCGCGCCCACGGTATATTAATCACTATGATTAAACATATACGTATAGAATAGTAGTAGCTCGTATCGATACGCGAGCATCTTTCACCTCTCCTAGTAGACTCTGGCCACTACTAGCAGCCGATTTACTACCAATTCTCCATTGCCAGCCAGGAAACCCACGCCTTGAATTTCTAGCTGATCAGAATTATTATTTGATACAATCCACAACAATAAAGATAGTTCTTTGATGGCACTAGTTGATATGTGTGCACGCCACACACATGGTGCTGGGTTACAGATAAAGTTGTATGCTGCCAGGTGAAAATATTATACATGTGTTGCCAAGTGGTGTACGTGGTACATACTGTAAATGTGTACGGCATGCGTTACACTCTTAGGAATTCTTACAGCACTTATTGGTATTGGTATTATTGATACTGGTATTTTGCACAGATATATTGTAATGGCTGTTTGCTAGAATATACAGGTATACTCTGTATTACGTGTGTCTAGGCCTATATTTTATGGTGTCATATTGCTACTGATATATTCAGTATATTATTATTGAATATTTATAGACGGTAGTCTTCTATAGGTATACTGTTCGCGTATTGCTACAGGTTATGCTTGATAAGCGTATAATAGAACCAGCGGTGAGAAAAAAAAAATTTTTTTATTTTGCGCCAAGCCCTGTTTTGATATATATTGGTGTAATAAAGATACAGGTTCGAGTGAGATTTTATGTGTTTTGCACTATAATTTATTGGTCGTAATAGAACCAGGTGATGAGACTTCTATGAGGATTTTGCATCCAATATATTGGCCTGCTGTAGCTTACAGGTGTGAGCATTTATGTGTTTTCGCATTATATTGGCCTGATAATTATAGTACACGGTGGCTGAGTTCATGTGTTTTGCATATAATTATTGGTGCTATTAGAACACGCTGTTGACGGGAGATTTATGATGTTTTGCAGATATTGGTGTATAGTACCAGCTTGGCACGATGTTATGTGTTTCGGCATATTATTTGGTGTAATTGTAATAATAGTTACAGCGGGTGTAAGATTTATGTGGTTTCTGCAATATCATTGGCTGTTAAAGAACGAGGGTGTGAGATTTATGGGTCTCGCAGTATATCTGGTGTTTTATATTCCAGTACCTAAGTGCGTCGAGATTACGACCCAAACGCCCTGTTCATCTTAATTATATTGGTGTACATAGAACAGGCTGCTGGAGGAGTTATACTATGTATACTATAAGATTTAGTTGAGCATGATATGTGTTTTGGATAGCGTACGACACAGCGTGCACTACTTTAGGTCTATCTATCTCTCCAATATCCGTATTACCCCGTAATCAGCTTGAATGTCAACATGATGCTCATTGTCTTGTGACTAGCCGTAATTTCACGCGCGTTGCCGTGTCGGAAACGGTCCGTGGCAGCCTTTCACTCTGTAGGAACGACCTAAAAACAGAGGACGAAGCCCCGCTGCCCGCTGAGCCCGCGCGGGGCTGCCTCGGACGGGACTGACGCGAGTAGGTACCTGCCTCATTCAATTATCCCCCTGAAGCGGAAAACATACAAATCACCGATAGAGTCGTCTGGTGTGTGTGTCGCTCACTTGTGGGGTGGGGGCGGCCGGTATGTGGGTTGATATCGGGCGAGATCGCCCGGACTGTGCGGGGGTGTGATGCGTGCCGTGCGTGGGTGTGCGGCGAGCGCGGCGCATCCCCGCTCGTCATGTTGTGTCGAATGTAAGTGCGATGATTTGTGTATGTGGCGTGTCTCTCGCTTGGGTGAGTGCTCGTCGTGGTGTGGTTGTGGGTCATGTGACCTAGTTGCGTGGTCTGAATTGCAGTCGGTGTGTGCCTCCGACCTGTGTATGCTCCGATGAGAGCTCGTATGCTGTGACGCGCACCGTGGTTGTCGAGGCACGGCAGCTTCCGTGCACTCCAGAGAATCGCTTCCGTCGACGTGCGGTTCTGTTGTATACATGTGGGTGTATGGGGAGGGGGCAGCGTGGTGTGTCTCTCACGAGGTGCGTCCCAGTGTTATCTTGTCCGTTTTTTCTAGCAGGTACAAAATACGCAAAAATTTGCTTCTGAGACGCATAATGGATATAGATTCAAACAAAACACATTCTACTTCTCTAACGCCAGAATGATGAAAATAAAAAACTATTGTTAAATGCAGCTGGGGGAAAAATAGTCTTCATAACCGAGTATGGAAATCTTTTTACTGCACTCAGTAGCCGCTGTAAGTATCGGCACATGTGGTGAAAGGATTAGTGCCTTACCCACGT